GCCTACCGAGGGCAAGGGCGGCGGCGGTGCCCACCGCGTCCACGTCCACCCCTCCTACGCGGCCCTCCGCGCGCGCCTGGGCATCCTGACGGACGCGTGGTAGACTGGGGGTGTCGTTCGGTACCTCCTCGGCGCGTCTAGGGCTCCTACAATGTCCGTATTCCCCAAACATTTTATTTTTCTTGAACGGAGAGGTAAGTAGCGAGTATCGACTGAGCTGCAATAATAAATAACAGCTCATTCTCTCTCTCTCCTCTGGGCGCTACTTTCCTGGCTAATCGAGGCAAGTCCCCGCTAAATATCTCTGCAGTCAAACTCCGCAGCACCACTGCGAAGGCGTCGCGCGCGCGCGGGTCATCCGTGACTCGGAAGTGGCGAAGCACGACAAGTACGCCAGGCTAGACTCCAAACGGCACCAGAGCGACCCCGAGCCGGCGCAGACCGCTCCTTTAGGGCCGTAGGGGCCGGGGCGGGGCTAACAGGAACGCAGAGCGTCGGGAAACTCGGATGGCTCCTGCGGCGCGGTCACGCACTCGGGCCACGGTGCGCAGCGCCCGGCCTCGTTGTCCGCGGAGTCGGGGTCGTATCTCTCTGTCGACCTCTCCCAGCATCGGAGATCTTATTTCATCCGTGAGATCACTCGTTGGAACAAAAAAAAGTGACCCCGTGCCGCGTCCGCGCCGTCCGCCGTCCGCGCCGTCCGCGCCGCTTCGCGGAAGGGAGATTCGAAGCCGCGACCCCCTCGCGTCCAGCGGGGCATCCAGCGGTTGGGAAGAACTTACCCCGGGCCTCATCAGCCGTTCCCGTACATAAACGCCCTCCCTTTGTGGCCCATGATCACACAACCAATCCCACAAAGTTTGCCGGCGATTCGACCATTCATCGACATGCCAGCACGCGGTCTCCAGCGGAGGAAGCAGGGACGATCGTATGCCCCGAGACACCCGCATTGCGCGCCGAAAGAGGCGACTCGCCCATGCTCTGCGAAGCGCAGCCCGCGCTCATCGTCATCTTCAAAAAATCCTAGAAAAATAGAGACTTGGCCGGGGGTTCGGTACCCTTTTTGATTCGCAAATGGGGCGCCGCCCCATTAAAAAAACGTTTAGGGTACCGCAAAACGGCCTCGATGGGGCCGAGCTAGCCTCAAGTCAAGCCCGCCGAGCGACATGAGGGGCCAGAACGATATCCAGCGGGCGTACTTGTCGCGCATCGCCACCCCTGATTCCCAACAGGAGAGGGTCAGGGTCACTCTATTAACGGCGAAGCGGCCCGCGTCGGCGGGCGTGCGCGGAAGCGCGACCGAGGGGCGAGTCCTTGAAGGCAGCGCCGCGCCGCGGGTCTGAGCCCCTTCGCCGCCTTGAGGAAGGCGTCCCGTGTTCGTTGTCGCGGACATGGCGCATGGCCACGTTGAGGCCGGACTTGCAGTGCCCCTGGGGACTATCCGTAGGCATTTTCGCGCTAGGGTGTGGATTAGAGTGCCGCTGGCAGCGGACCGGGCCACTGCAAGGGGGCTGCCCCATCGCGTGGTGCAGCTGGCGATAGGTGTCTTTGGCCACGTTGAGGCCGGACTTGGACTATCCGTAGGCATTTTCGCGCTAGGGAAAAAGGAGAGTGAGAAGGAAAGCAAAATCGAGAAGGCGGGAAAGTGACGACGAGCCTAAGCGACGTGCGCTTTCGTGGCGCCTTTCTCTAATGTTGTGTCGCGATCGCCTCGAGCTGCCTCTCATACTAACCCGGGTCAGTGTGGCATGCTACGCCGATAGTGTTGCTATATCCGCGCGCGTAGCACGAAGGACGATGGGCGCCGGGAGGTTCTTGCAAAGGCAGAAGGGCATCGTCAGCAGATGCTTGAAGCGTTTTTGTGCCGGGATATCATGGTTGAAGCGGTTTTGTGCTGGGATGCTTCGTGCTTCGAGTCGCTTCTCGTCGGAAGTCCGCGATCCCGTAAAGGTCAGCGTGAGCTCGGCGAAGCGGCCCGCGTTGGCGGGTGTGCGCGGAAGCGCGACCGAGGGGCGAGTCCTCGAAGACAGCGCCGCGCCGCGGGTCCGCGCCCCTTCGCCGCCTTGAGGAAGGCGTCCCGTGTTCGTTGTCGCGGACATGGCGCAGGGGCGCGCGGCGCGTCATCTTCTTATCGAAGGACGGGCGCGGCATCGACCAGCACGCGCCCCGAGGATCTCGTCCACGTCTCGGACGCCCAGCGGGACGCCGAGCGCCTCGAGGATCGCCGCGGACCGCGCGCCGACGATCGACGCTCCAGGTGAAGCCGTCGACGCCCAGCGCCTCGAGCGGGCCGCGCAGGAAGGTCACCTCGTCGATTTCGGTGCCGGCGCGGCTGCCTCTTTGTCGTCGACCCGTCATCGACCATCTGGGCGCGTCCGTCGCCGAGCGCGTGTCCGTGTCGACAGCTCCGACATCGCGTCGATCGATCTGCATGCCTCTGAAGTAAAGAGATAAATAATTCAAACTAAATCGTATGTGGCTCGCCAGGATAGAAAGCCGGCTTTGCGTTGCAGATGCAGATTGGGAATGACGCTCGGGTGCTTTCTTCGAGCCCACAAGGTGGAAGAGGCGTACTCCTTTTTTTGGGTCCCATTTTTACTGCAGCAGATGGAGGCAACTCGCATTCGCCGCGGGGAAGAAGGGCATCGAGCCCTACTCCCAGGTATACCGGGTGCTCTACAACCCGCGGCCCCACCTGTTCCTCTACGACCCCGAGGCGTATTCCTAGGCGCGTTATCGCCCGCGCTTGTGGGAGAACGACGTCCCGCGCGTGAGCGCGGGCGGCGCCTCGGCGTCGCTTGCGTCCTCGCCGAAGTTGCCGTGGGGCTTCGCCGTCACGGGCTCGGCCTCGAGGAAGTCGTCGCGCCGTGCGCGGACGCGGCGAACTTCAGGAAGACCTGCTCCAGCGACGCGGCGAACTTCAGGAAGACCTGCTCCAGCGACGGCTGATTGAACATGTACTCGTCGACGCCGAGCGCCT